TGCATATTTTAGGAAGATCATGCAAGTGAAGAAATCAGAAGCAGAAACACAGTATGTGAGCCATACCAACCCTCCAAGTGAGAATGTAAGAAGTCTTCAACTAAGCAATGCTAGTACAATTAGATAAGTGAATACAAATTCTAAGATATTTAGGAAAGAACATTGAAAAAGCTTGCGCTCATTACAAGTAAAGAGAAAGCAAGAGAATCCTGTTTCTGCCAGATAATGTCTGCATATTTTGACCATTTAACAACCTATGATGGGAAAGATTAATTAATCCTCACATGTCTTTATCGTTTCTAATGCTGCAAAAATCCATTATTATCTCTGTCCTCTGATTCTCCACTCCCTTGTAGCTCTAACAAAGAGTTACACTTCACTGGGACCAGCAGCTGGTGTAGCGGTTACATTGCTGGATTTTTACAAGATGTACCTTGATTTGAGTCCTGGACCCGGTGGCTTGAAAATCATGCCAGGACCCTGTGTGTGTGTATGCCCTGGATTCTGGAAGGAGAATGTAAGAGAAGGGAGTGCAGTGTGGCCATCCCCCCTTCCCCCAGGGAGTGATTTCTCACTTTCCCTGTCACTGTCTCTGTCTCTGTCTCTGGCAAGCGCAAGTGCCCTAAGACAAAAAAAATCTAAAAAAAATTTAAAAAGTCAGAAATAGGCTAAATTTTGCAGGAATTAACATTTATTCCATTCTCAGATTTTGTTTTCACATAAGTTAGAATTTAAGCCAAAGATCAAACCTGAGATAGAAACAGAAATATATTATTTACACATAATATATGTATGTGTGTGTTTATGGCCAGGCAGATAGAGTCCTAAGAATATTGTTTTTCAATTTTTTGTTGAAGAGTCCCTCTCCTCTATCAAAATCAAATACACAAATATATCCACTTTTGGTCTACAATTCCATTCTTTTTTTGTAATTTTTTTTTTTACGTTCATTCACTGTACGTCATTAGAGTATACAAAATGAGATTTTTCATCCAGGATACAATAATACCATATGTATTGTTGTCAATAAATAATTTTCTATTTCTTGTTTCTTACAAATTTTGCTTCCATCCCATTCCCTACCTCTCACCCTCTGCTATTTCCTACCCTCCTCCCACACTGTCTCTGGTTTCTAGTTGCTTTCCATGCCTTTTTTTTTTCTTCACATTTTACTGATTCACTAAAGATTTTAATTAATTTAAATACTTCCAATAGCAAGTACAGCTGATAAACATTTCTATGAACACATGTCTGACTTAGGCATAAATCTCAATGAGTAGAATGACCATACTATAAAGCAGCATCTAGCTAGGGCTATATAGCTTACAGCAGTTATTAAATAGGTATTTTTTAACTTAAAAAAAGATTTAGTTTTAATAGATCAAAATCCCAATTCCTTTTAGTTAAATATTTTTTTCTTGCTATTCTCTCTGCTTTCTATTATTAACATCTTCCCCATACCAGATTACTTATATCAGCATATACACAGTTTTCTGAATCTTCCACCTCCAATCATTACAACAGCCCTCAAATCCCTTTGACTTTTTTAACCTTCTGCTAACTTTCCCATTCATAGACTCTCCTTAACGCTGCTTCCACTCCTCTATCTCCCATTCACTCGTCTATATTACAAAATATTCAAGCATAACTGGAACGATACAGAGAAGAATAGTCTGACACCTGCGTAATTTTCAAGCCACAGGGTCCAGGACTCAAAACTTAGAGTCCAGACATGGAATCCAGTGCCTTAACCTCCACACCACGTACTGGCCTCTGTGTGTATGTTTGCGCGCACGTGTGTGTGTGTGTGTGTGTGTGTGTGTGTGTGTTAATACATGCATACAATCTGTAATTATCGAATCAGAGCTATAAATCTATCCATCAAGTCAAACATCATTACTTTGTGTTGTGACCATTCAAAATATTTCTAGTTGATTTGAGTGATACAGTAAATCATTATGACTGTATGGTGGTTATGACAGTTGCTCTACTGTGTTTTAGTAGTCGAGAGCCCTTTCCTATTGTGAACAGCAGTTTCGAATCTTTTAACCAAGTTCATATCCTTCAACTTTCTCCTCTGCTTAGTTTCTAGTATGTACCATTCAACTCTCCACTCCTATGTGATCAAACCTTTTAGCTTTTCACAAACAAATTAGATCATCTATTATGGCTTTCAATTTCTGATTTATTTCACTTAGCATAATTTCCTGCAAGCTCATCCATATTGCTGTAAATGACAAGGTTTTCTTCTTTTGTCTGGCTGAATAATATCCCACTGTGCATATATACTACATTTTGTTTATTCATCCATCCATCCATTAATAGACA